CCGCTGTTTCCCAGCCCTGCTCGCCGGGGGCCGAGGAAGTGGGGTGTGAACGGGGAGGAAAGGTCGCCCTTTTGAAGGTGCTGACCCGTTGGTATGGCTTAAGTCTGGTTTCCTGAGGCGCGAAGCGCCCACAACTCCGGGAGGGGGGAGCAGACGCTGGGGCTGAAAGCCTCGGGAAGCCGTGCCCGTGTTCGGCGTTCCAAAAAAATATCAAAGGCTCCCTGTCAAAATGGGGTTGTGAACCCCTGCCTGAGATTTCCCCAATACGAGGCATTGGAAAAAGGTTCAGAAAAAGGCAACAATTGTTAGGGGTTTGGAACGGTGCCCTACGAAGAGATTAAAAAGTCGGGGACTTTTCAGCTTAGAAAAGAGGAGAACTAAGGGGGGGGGGGGGAAAGGTAGGACAGAGGTCCTATAAAATCATGACAGGTGTGGAGAAAGTGAATAAGGAAAAGTTATTTACTTGTTCCCATAACCTAAGGACTAGGGGTCACCAAATAAAATTCATAGGTAGCAGGTTTAAAGCAAACAAAAGCAAGTTTTTCTTCATGCAGAGCACAGTTAACTTGCGGAACTCCTTGCCAGAGGAGGTTGTGCAGACCAGGATTTCAACAGAGTTCAAGAAAGAGCCAGATAAATTCATGGAGGTTAGGTCCATCAATGGCTATTAGCCAGGATGGGTCGGAATGGTGTCCCTAGCCTCTGTCAGGGGCTGGAAATGGGCGATAGGGGGGGGATTAACTTGATGATTCCCTGTTCTGTTCCCTCCCTCTGGGGCCCCTGGCATTGGCCACTGTGGGCAGACAGGACCCTGGGCTGGAGGGACCTTGGGTCTGACCCCGACCAGATGTTCATGATAATCTTCCAAGATGAGGGCCAGGCATGTACCCAAACAGCATCTGCCTTGGGGGATGTGGCGCATTACGTTTGCCCATGACCAGCCTGAAACGTCCTCATAACCCCACCTGGAGAACTTCCCCCCCAACTCCTTGCCCCTCCGGGCACGTCCCTGCCACGCTTACCGGACTTGTACATGAGGAAGTCCTCGTAGACGGAGAACGCGCCCTCCACCGGGCCGTTCTTGTAGATCTCGGCCATTATCTCCTTCTCGCTGCGGGGGACGTTGTACGAGGTGGCGCCTGCAGGGCAGAAGCAGACACGGCTCAGCCGAAGCGAGGGGAACCT